GTACATAAAACACCAAAATAACATATAAATGTAAATTTTTACAAGATAGTATTCAAAATTATAAACAAGTACAACGATGAACTAAAACAAACTAAATTATTTTACTTAATACTTCGCTTCCCGGAATTGCAAACCGTTGAAATTATTTACAAACAAAGATCACTCTATTTATATTGTCTATATCTATAGTCTTACGTATGAAAATTAAACGTACAATAATACTGTTACATACGCTGTTTTGTTTATTGTTGTATGCCACATGTGCGCTTTGCGCTTGACCGACCGACAGTCGACTCTCGCAACAATCACAGTTAACAGTAATAACGCATTTACAAAAATCACTACTTGTAATATGACTCGAAACTAGTGATTCGGTTACATGCCGCGTAGCCAGTTATTGTAACTAGTGACGTGAAATAACGCCCACGTCTACTCAGAAGGGCTAGATCCCAGAGCCGTAAAGCCAGTTATTAAGAAGAAGATGGAAAATATCTTTGAATTAATTATTTTCTTGTTTTGTTTTGCTTATGTACATTTTAGTTTTATACATATTTTATTATTATTATTGCATGTTGTTTTATGTTAGTCAAACCCATTCTAATTCATTCATTTTAACATACAAGATACTTAAATAATAATTTCTTTCAATAATTGCAAAGTTAGTTAAAAGCATTGAGTTATACAAGACAACATATAAATCAATGGTTAAAAGCCAAAGTAAGATAACTTTTACAAAGTTTTAAATGTCAACTGAGGTCTAAAGACTAAAGATAAGACAGGTCTATGGCCAACGGTCAAATGGTTTACACGTACTTGTGAGTGCTTTTCGGTATTTGGTTAATTCTCCTTAATTTCCTATTTTGTGGTGGTGGATTCCTCTGCTGTAAGACTACGTTTATAAGTTATAGTTATTTCGAACATTAAACCCAATTATGGGTGACGAAACGGGGTCTCCTCGTGAGAAACCCCCTGACCCTCCCGATGAAGACATGTGCTTTGGAGTAAGTGACAATAATGATTGTGTCCGTGGTAAAAAAAGACACGCTGAGACTCGATCATTTGATCCAGTAATATATAAAAAGAATTCTGTAATTGATTTAACAGCGTCAATAAACACAATATATAAACATCCCTGCCTAGAACAAAATCTTAGAATGTATGGACCAAACGACCAAGGCCCTTTTATTGTCCACATCTCCCGGGCTACGTCAGATCCTAGAATAGAGCTATCACTTCGACCAATTAAAATAGGTTTATGCTTGTCTAAAAATAAAATAGAAAACATCAAAAGAGGGGGAGTCAAAAGCGTTGGCAGAAATCGCATCTCTATTGAATTCTGCTCAGCAGATGAGGCTAACAAATTTCTTAATAATCCAATGCTTGCAAAAGAAAAATTGATTGCAACTATTCCATCCTATAATGTTTCTCGAATGGGTGTCATCCGCGGTATCCCTGTGGATTGGTCAATGGAAGAACTAGCAGAAGCTGTTGAGCTTCCTCCCGGTTGCGGTAAAATCCTTAAAGCTCGCCGTCTTCAGAGAAAGACTTGCTGAAGGGTCATCATCCCCAATATGGGTTCCTACTCAATCTATTGTTCTGACATTTGAAGGTCAGTTACTCCCCAAATATATATATGCATTTTTCACATCCCTTGCTGTTGAAACTTATCAACTCCCCACTATCCAGTGCAAACACTGTTGTCGATTTGGCCACATAGCAGATCAATGCCGTTCTAAACCACGCTGCTTCCGTTGTGCCCAAGAGCATACTGGAGCAAGTTGTTCTGTTCCTGAAAGTGAAGCCACTTGTCTGTTATGCTCCAAAAATCATTTTGCTAATAACAAAAATTGTCCGGAACACCAAAGACAGATATCTATCAAAGTTATGATGTCAGAACAAAATGTATCCTATATAGAAGCTTCAGCCAAAATCCCATCTATCCGTTTGAACAATCCTCAAAAACCGTATTCCAAAGTGGCCTCTACTCAGCTTTCACCTACTCCTACTACCTCCTTCAACCTCCCCACCATGTCACAGGCATATAGAAAAACCATCTTCAAACCTCCCGGTCCCATACCTAGAATTCCCATGGGGTATGACCAACAAGCTCATCAAAGAATAGTTGCAGACTGCCCATCCTCTATTCCAAATGGATGCGCATTATCCAATACGCACAACCAAATATCTCCAAATGAAAATCTTGTTGAATGCCTAATTTCTCTCCTCAATAATTTAATTTTGTCAATCTCAATAATGTAATGTCAGACTCACTACCGAACAACGTTGCAGAAAAAATCTTTAATTTAGCTAGTTTAATAGATAATATAAATGACTCAAACAAAAGACCTCCATCTTCTTCAATGGAACTGTAGAAGCTTGCAACCTAAAAAATCTGAACTCATCTTCCTAATAAATAAACATTCAATTTCTGTTGCTTCAATATCAGAAACATGGTTCCTACCTAACTCCAAATTTCGCTTGCAAGGCTTTACTTGCCTCCGTGAAGATAGAAATGACGGTTATGGTGGTTGTTGCTTACTCATAAAAAAATCGCTACCCTTTTCTCAAATTACACTCCCTCCTCATAGCCAACACATTAATGCCGTAGCTGCAAAAATTGCAGGAATCAACATTATTTCAATATTGTTGATTCCTGCAATTAACACACCTCATTGAACTCGAACGTGCGCAGCGTGCATTATTAAAAGTCATTAAACGCCTACCTTTTAGACACCCGACTGATGACTTATACAGAAAATGTAGCGTACTTACCGTACGAAAATTATACATTATCCATTCTATTCGTAAATTTCACAAAACTACTGCTTCTCAACTCCAAAGAAGTGATAAGAGGACCGTCCGTTATCCCTTGCCTCCTTACAAGAGCAAATTCGCGAGAAGACACTTTAACTACTCTGCTACATTACTGTATAACAAATTAAATTCCGTTTTTAAAACAACACATCTAAGTAATCATAACATTAAGCCAATTTTATTAAAGTGGTTAAGTAATTTTAACTATAACGCAACTGAAAATCTTATTGTTTCCTCAAAATAATACTTAATAATAATATGACGCTTGTATACGGCACAATTACACACGCACACACACACACACACACACACATACACACACACGCGCGCACACACACACACACACACACTTTTTATTTTTTATATAATTATTTTTTCCCTTTTTACTTTGTTAGTTTTTATGTCACTGTTTCTTTTTTTTAATTTTAATTTTTATTCTTTTTAAATTTTATATAAGATTTATATTGTTTGCTGGTTTGCCACATTACAAAAATGTGTCTCTGAAAACGGGGAAGACGCTGTAGCCTGTAACACAGTTTTCAACTACCACGGGCTACAGAGTTTCAATATGATTTATGTATGTATAAGTTATGTGAGAAACAATAAATAAATAATATTATTATTATTATTATTAATATATATCCCTCATCCAAATACCCACTTAATTCAAGAACTATCCTCTCTCTTTTCTTTGTTACCCTTTTATTATTACCGGTGATTTTAATTCACATCATGTAACTTGGGGGTCACATTTTTGTGACATATACTCTTCAGAACTTATACAAATTTTTGAAGACATTAATGCTTGCATTATCAACAATGGTTCCCCCACTCATAGAGTATACCCAGGACTAGACCCTAGGTCTGCTGTCGACCTAACAGCTTGTTCTTCTAGTCTAGCCCCTCAGCTTTCTTGGAAAACTCTCAATCAAACATATGGAAGTGATCACTTTCCCATTCTTATTACCAAACCCAATGCGGTTATTCCTTTACCCTCTACTATGCCCCTCCTTAAATATAAGCTCCAAGACGCAGATTGGACTAATTTCACTAAATTTTTAGATACTAAATTTGCGCAAATGCAGGTTGACTTCTCAACCAACCCAATAACTTTGTACTCTCTATTGGTACAATATATAACTGAAGCAGCTGACTTATTTATCCCAACCAAAAAACCCTACAGCAAGAACCTATCCTCCCCTCCATGGTGGGATGCTGAGTGCACCACTATGATTAAAAGGAGAAAAGCTGCAGAAAAGCTTTATAATCACTGTACGACAACCGATAATTTTATACAATTTCAAAAAACCTCTGCTCAAACAAGGAGACTTCTTTCCAAAAAGAAAAAAAAGGATGGAAAAAATTTTGTGAATCCTTGTCCCCTAATTCACCAGTAACAATAGTTTGGAAAAATATAAAAAAAATTCGTGGCTCCCTTCTTTCTGATACCAACATTTCTGATAACTCTTTACCATGGTTAGAAGTCTTCTCTGATATGTTAGCTCCTCCTTTTGTCCCTAATGAATATGCAATATGCCCACCCATTCCAGTCCCGTCTTACATCAACAATAATGAGATAATCTTCTCATTGTCCGAATTACAGTCTGTGTTATCTGGCTTAAAATCCTCTTCTCCAGGAGAAGATGGCATACTCTATGCATGTTTATGTAAATTAAGCCTTAAGGGTAAATTAATTCTTCTCCAAATTCTGAACAATATCTACATATCATCTAATATTCCTCTGTCTTGGTCTAACCAAATTGTTATACCTATCCTTAAACCCGGAAAAGATCCCAAAGAAGCTTCTTCATACCGCCCAATTGCACTTTCATCTACTATTTGCAAAATTTTAGAACATTTAATTAAAAACAGACTTGAATGGTTTCTGGAACATAATAACATGCAAAAAGTCAATTTGGTTTTCGTAAAGGTAAAAGCACATTAGATAGTTTGAGCATCCTAACTACAGATATTAGGTTGGTCTTTTCTAAAAATGAATACTTGGTGGGTTGTTTCCTGGATATATCATCTGCCTATGACAGTGTTCTTCTTCCAGTGCTCAGGCAGAAAATGCTTCATCTGAACATCCCAGCGAAGACTGTACACTTCATTTACAATCTGTTCATGGGACGATCTATCAAAATTCGCAATAAAGGAATGTTAACCTCGCCCAGAACAATTTGGAAGGGTCTACTACAGGGCTCGGTCTTAAGCCCTATTCTTTACAATATCTACACATATGACCTTGAACATTCGATTTCATCTTTCTGTGACATATGCAGATGATCTTGCTATCTATGTAACAGCTCCTGATATCCTAACTGCCTCCCATCATCTTAACAGAGGCTTATATTATCTTAATCAATGGCTTACTGACCATGGCCTCTCTCAGCTTCTAAAAGCAAAATAATAACCTTTAGTAGAAAACGTGTTATCCCTACTCACATAATGGTGAATCTATTCCAGTTCTTAACAAAGTAAAATTTTTAGGTATTTACTTAGATTGTCATATGACTGGTACTGCTCACTTTAATTACATCAGTGACAAATGTGAGAAAGGTGTTAACATTCTTAGATCTCTTTCAGGCATATGGTGGGGTTCTCACCCCGTGTCAAAAAATCCTATACAATGCCATCATCCGCAGTCACTTCGACTATGGCTCTTTTCTTCTGGAGCCCTGCAACAAATCGGCCCTTAATAGGCTTGATGTTACCCAAACAAGATGTTTACGTATTATCACAGGCGCAATGAAATCAACTCCTAAAAATGCTTTACAAGTAGAATGTGCTGATCCCCCTCTCTCTTTACGAAGACAGTTTCTAGCTGATAGATTTCTCTCAAAAACACTACAACTATCATTTCACCCCTTACATCGTAAACTAGAATCCTTGCTAATATTAGCTGTAAACAACTCCTACTGGTCTAATAAAAGCTGGCCCCCTATTCTTAAATCTCTAAATAGATTAAAAAATATTGGTTATCCTTGTGTAACATCCCTAATTCTACCCTATTTTGAAACCAGCTATGAAGCTATATTACTAAACCCTAAAATCACTCTGAATTTAAACATTAATAAAAATTCCCCAACTGCAAACAGAACTTTCTACAACCTTGTGGCAAAAAAATGGTCTGATTGGCTATATATTTTTACTGATGCTTCCAAATTGTCTTCATTCAAATGTTTTTTAAATTTAGCTTTTTGAACAAACAAATCACATCTACAATCTGCCGTTTAAGGCTTGGGCATGCCTGCACTCCTGTATTTCTAGCTAAAATTAGAATCAAAGTTCATTCCCTCTGTGAATGTGGTCTGAATGAAGGTACCCCAGACCACATTTTTTTTAATTGCCAAAATCACCCAATTTCTTTATATTATGACATTCTTCCCAACACAATCCCTCGACCAGTGAATATCAATTCCCTCTTAACTATCCCCAATTCCATATATGTCAATATGATCTCAAAATATATTCAAATGTATAATATTAAACTCTAATTATTGTGTACTAAATTTAGCTTAACCTAATTCTCTATTCCCTGCCCAGGCTAATTCTCTCCTATAACTAGAAGTTTGCTCTATATTGTGTGGTCCATAATTTATGTATTTAGTTGCTTTGTTTTTATCCATATTTTCACCTAATAACCGCTAACTCCTTTTCCACCGAAAAGCCTCAAGACAAGGTGCGACAGACCAAAGACTGGACATTGGCAGAATTATTGTGACTTAACCACAATACCAAGGGCCATATAGACAAAATAAAAAAACTTTTACAAAAGTTTTGATTATTTTATTGTATGATTGCATTTTATATTTGTTAATAATATTGCTTTGTTGTTTGTTTATAGAAAGATTATATTTATAGAAAAGAATGTTCGAGTGTGATCACTGTAATAAACGCTATATTAGAAAATCTAATCTTCTAACGCACTTGATAGCTCATACAAGAAGAAAAACAAAATATGATTGCCACATGTGTGATAAGTCGTATATTTTACAAAGTAAATTTACCGCGCATGTGAACCATCATCAGCAAGACAAATATTTCCACTGTAGTATATGTGATAAAAAATATATCCATGAACATAGCCTAAAGATTCATATAAAAGTTCATGGAAATGGAAGAAGCTTCATATGTGAAATTTGTAGTAGAACATTTACCAGTAAATTTTGCTTAGATAGACATTCATTGACTCATAAAGGTGATAAGCCCTTTGAATGTAATAAATGTTTCAAGAGGTTTTATCAGAAAGTACATTTAATGTCACATTATTCAGTGCACAGTGATAAAAAACTATTTCTCTGTGACATTTGTGGTAGGGGATTCACAAGGAAAGATACATTAGTGGGACACATCAAATTCCATGACAATAATATAAATTGTGAAAGAGAAAACTGTACGGGAAATATTGTTCCAAAAATAAAAAATACTGAAATAAAATCTTTATTCAAAAATATAGAAAATAATATAAATAAAACAACCATTAGACAAGAAATATACAGAAATGAAATAAAAAACAAAAATTCCTTCCATTTTGGGCCCTTGAACACCAAAGGACTAACCTTAGATATGAAATCTCGTGTAATCGTAACCAATTTTAGCCAGACAAATATATTAACTGATAACAAAAACATAGAAACTAATTCAGAGCAATCATTATATGTCAAACATGCTGAAAAAATGCATGAATGTCCACAATGCAGTAAGCAATATAAAAATAAGAAGTCACTGACACTGCACATGAAGTTACATACATTACAAAACATATTCATATGTGAGATTTGTGCAAAGGTGTTCACAATAAAACGTAAATATGAGATGCATATTCTTAGTCATTCCGGAGTGAAATTGTATTCATGTAAAACATGTGACAGAAAGTTCACTGCAAAACACTCTCTGGTAACACACATGCACATGCATAAAGGGTATAAACCAGTCCAGTGTGCAATATGTGGAATGAGGTATGATTGTGATATTTTATATTTTTAGTTTCTTTTTTTTATAGTTATAAGGTGACAAACGAGCACACAGTCCACCTGATGGTAAGTGGTTGCTGTGATCCATAGACATCTACATTTATCCTCAATAACGAATCAAAATGCATATGCGTCGTCACCCGTTAGTACTAAGATGGAATGCCTCTTTTCCAGTAAAATAGGACTCCGGTTCTCTACACTCATCATGCAAAACACAGGAGCATTAAGCTGCTATTTTACACTGGTATTCTGTGAGAGCGTGGTCCTTCTCCGGTCCAGCCGACCCATTCGTGCTACAACTATACTACTAATACTATAGCTGCAGCATGGCTCTACCACAGAGTCTTTCATAGTTAGGACCTTACCAGGGTTCTAATGGTTCCATTCCATCCATCCATCCATTACAGCCTATAAAAGTCCACTGCTGAACATAGGCATAGGGAATTCTGCCATAGTTGACACGCCTGACGAGCGAATGGTCAACCACAGCTTTTTATTTTAAGCTGTTATCGGATAGATGCTGCTGACCATCACCTGTTTCAATTTCCCTCTGTTGCCTCTTACGTCTCCCTCGGGACGATATGAGGTAGTGGATATACTTACACTGCCACAACACAGCACCTAATGATTAATTCTACCGTAAATAAAAGCTTAGTACCTGGGTGACAGCTTTGGTCTGCATTAGAAAAATATTAATAAAACTTTTGCAGAGATGATACATATGAAGATAAACTTCGAAAGTAAAATATTATCCAAATATAAAATACTATTCAAATTATTACAGTGGCTCTCCAAACACCAATCACAAGGATATATCTCTCATTGCTGGGCATAAGCTGCATCTTATTTCTGGGGAGGGTATTTGGATCAGGAAAATAGACCATGCTACCTGAATACATTTTTATTCTTAAGCTTCTCCCTACTCCCCCACTAGATGAAGTGACGACCTGGTAAGACTTGCAGGAAATTGATGGATGTAGTTGGAGGCCTATGTTCAGCAGTGGAATTGTGAAGGGTTGTAAATGATGATGATTCTTAAGTACTTATTCCCTGAGTTACCATGACTTCCATTGTAATCTTTGCAATATGACTCTTGTCAAACACTAATGACAACATAAGAGAATCCACTATATCTTGTGGGTGTCGTAAGAGAAGAGAAAAGGGAAACCGAAACCATAGATTTGCAGCAGCATCTTTTGTTAATAATTCAAATAATAAAAAACTGCAGTTGCCAACCCACCTGCAAACATGGTAACTATGGCAAAATTCACCCTATGATTCAGTCAAAAGGAAGGCCTACGTTCAGTAGTGGATTTTTGATAAACTATGAGTGAATGAATGCTTTGGATTTTTTTTATAGGATAAGGGTGACTAACGAGTCCACCTGATGGTAAGTGGTTGCTGTGGCCCATAGACATCTACATCTATCTTGGATTACGAATCAAAATGCAGATGCATTGTCACCTGTGAGGACTAAGATGGAATGCCTCGTTTCCCATAAAAAGGGTCTCTGGTTCTCTACACTCACCATAAGAAACACAGCAGCGTGAAGCTGGTATTTTACGCTGGTATACTGTGAGAGTGTGGTCTTTCCCCAGTCGAGCTGACCCATTCGTACTAGAACCATAACATAGCTGCAGCATGACTCCTCCATGTAACAAATTTATTGATTAAATACAGAACCTAGAATTTGCCGTAATGACATCTTTAGAAAGTTAAAGCTACAGCTATACCTCCCACTGCTGGACACAGGTCTCCTCTCACTTCTGAGAGGATTTTAGGGCAAGGAAGGGTGCGCTGCTCTGCCCCAATGCGTGTTGGCGGAGTTCACGTCTTCGAAATTTTTTTCATTTCTCAGGCATGCAGGTTTTTCTCACGATGTTTTCCTTCACTGCCGAGTATGTGGCAAATCGGCGCTTAAAATCGCAATTAACAATTTCATTGGTACTGGCGGGTATCGAACCCGGGTTGATTGTGTAGTGTGAAGTTTACAGCAAGCACTAAGCCCCTGAGCTACCACAGCTCTTGACATGTTTAAGGGCTGAAGAAAATCTTTGAATATTGAATATTGTGCCTCATTTCACTACTTGTTGAACTATGAATTAGGAAAACTGGAAAGCTTAACATGTTTACTGTTCTGTGACCCATATATTGGTCTTGCTATTATCTTACTATTGTTTCTGGAAACTGGACAGAGAAAGTTAATAACTGGATATTAATAATTAATTGCCCATGTGGTTCCATCATAGAAGCCAATCACCCCATTTTGTCCCGAACGTGTCGTAAGAGGCAACTATGGAATGCTAGAAATATCTAAGTGATAGCTTCCAATACATGATGGTATAACCAGCCAGGTGTGAAATACCAAGACTGGTGACCAGAAGCAGAGTGAAAGGTATCAGGTAATGCAAGTGCAATTGTAAATCTGCATACCAAGCATAATAATTATGGCAACAGCCTTCCAATAACGGGAGTGGCCCATTTCCACCAGTGAACCATTATATTCCGCTGATGAATCAAAATAAGGAATCCATTTTCTCTTTCCAGATTCTCCAAGAAGAGCTCTCTTGACAGGCACTCCCTTATCCATAGTGGTGTAAAGCCATACAATTGTAAAACATGCAACAAGTCTTTCACCCAGAAAATACAACTTTCCAACCATGAGAAGACTCACAATGGAATCCGACCATACCTCTGTGCCAATTGTGGAAAGAGTTTTAGTAGAATAGATGTATTAAATGTGCATTGCAGAATTCATGATAAAGTAAAACAAAAAATATAATAAAAATTACAAACTTATACCATATGCATTTTCACTTTGTACAATTTAGATAAATTTGTGATGAAGAAAAGATATTAAAATAACACATGCCATGTAGTGGCAGTTTAAAAATATCCACTACCCCATATTGTTCCGTGGCTGTCGAAAAAGGCTACAGAGGGAAATTGAAATGACAACCTACTCGCCAGTCAATTATGGTTGAAATCTGCTGTAAATGCGTTGAAAGCAAAAACAAGGAGTTAAAGAAATAGGACAATTTTTCCTCATCAAAATACCATTCTAACCTGCATGAATTATTCTATTAATAACTTCTAATAAACGGTAAAACACACTGCTAAAATTTCTCCCATTATACTGCACTAAAGTTACATAAAGATCTAATATTGGAACCCAACCAAGTTTATTAGACAGATAGATGCAGAGCTACCTTCTCAATTGGAGTTCCTATCAATTAACACCTCCAAAAACAATATATATTTCTATCAGACTTGACCGTCTTGTTGGACTAGTGGTTGTATGCTGATGACTGTATGATGCTGATGACCATGTATATCCTGAGTTAGAATCCCAGACCAGGCCAAAAATCAGTTAATGTGTTTTCTGTCAAGAAAATAGTTTGGCTGTGGTAGTGAAACATCAGCCCTGTGCCTCGGAAAGCATGTGAAGCAGTTGGTCCTGTGCCTGATCTCTCTTCAGTTGTGTCAGATATCTGTTCCCATTGAGCTATTAGAGAATAGAAAATGCACAGCTTACTCACATTATTTGTGCACTATAATATGTCCTGCCCAGATGGCTAGTCTTCATTGAGTCAATTAAATAAGGAAAAAAGGATAATATTTTAGATAGAACAAACACAACTTAATGAATGTTTGTAGGTATGACTAAAGCATTTATTATATTACATTACAATTGGTACACACTCAAACTTGCTTACGTTGACCACAAGTTTACAATCGTTTGTTAAATCTAGCATCTTATATGGTTCATATATCCTTAATATAACATCAGGAACAATACTGCAATTATTATTTACATAATATTCATTTATAAATATTAAAAACCTTTTGTCATGTAAATCTATTGTTTCAATTAAATAGGAGCCATATTTTAAATTGACTTTTTGGATTCGGAAAACAATGTGTTCACTTTTTGGAATGAGAAAATTTGAATTTTGTGCTAGAAACTTTTCATGTTGCCATAAAGAAATATTAGCATTCTGTTTTTTTAATAGGCCTCTGAGGCGGCAGGCAAGTCCGTCCTTTTTATATTTAACCTTTTTTGACTTTACCAAGTTTATGTTTGTCTCATAACTTTCATTTAATGCTAATGGGCTTATTTCGTCTTGGACTACTTGTAAGGAATCTTTGGCTTGTGTCATTGAGTTGACAATTTCTATGTCATCACTGAACTTTGAAGTGTTTTGTGGTGTTGAAGACTCACATTCACTTATTGACTGTTGTGAAGCATTTTCAGAACTAAAATGACTGTCAAAATATAATTGCACATTTTTTACTAAATCTATTGTAGTCTTGGGCTTCAATACATTTACAACTGAGTGGGATGCAAACGTAGTATTATCAACACACAAATTATTTGATTCTTCTCTGCTTTTGATTTGATCTAACTTACTTTCTGTTTCTTTTATGACTTTATTTTCTGAATTTTGATCTCGATTTGAATTTGTAATAGTATCACAATTATTATTCTGGTGGTCATCACTAACCTTTGATTTGTGATCACCACAAGAACTTTTGTTTAATTTTATAGTTGAATATTTATTCTTAGGTCCTACTGGGTGTGAATATGTTTCATTAATATCATATTTTTCAGATGCAAATAGCTTCTTTTTTATTTTTGTCGATCCACTAGGTGATTCATGTTTCAATACCAATACAGGACTCCTTTCCTTCAAATGAAACTTATTTTCTTGAAATGTGTGTAAAGTTTGTAACACTGGTGAAGCATCTATACTTAAAGCACATTTATAAGATGGTAAGCGGTTTTTTAAAGGTTCTAAAATAGGGCTTCGCAAACATCCATTTATTTTGTATGTAGAACTTAAAATTGGAGACTTCTCTAAAGATTTTATTTCTTTCTTGACTTCCGGAACTTTAATAATATTAACATTTAAGTTTGAAATATTTTTATTTAAACTTTTCTTCCGTTTTCTCTTTCGGTTATGTGATTTCAAGGTAATAGCATCACGAGACAAATTAGATGATACGTTTTCATAGTCACTGGATTCACTAGATGACCAAAATATATCGTCTACGTATTCTTGAGTGTTTAGTAGATCGAATTTCTTAGAGAAAGGGTTTTCTCTTCGTTTCTTCATTTGCAAAATATATTAGTTACGGGGTTTACAGGCCTCTGCTACAGAAGTCTTAGTTTTCTTCAAAACACATAATCAATGTCCTGGTCCTGGTAAATATTACTATTTACTACCTATTTACTATAAAATTAGAGAATGAAAACAATTGTTGCTTTCACTTCAAAATATAAGGTTTTATTTATGGTTCACATTCACCCCATAGACAGAATAAGTCTATGCATTCGCTAGGAATGGTGATCAAAGATCGAATTTTCAGGCCAAAAAGATCGATTCTTAAATCGATATGCAGTACTGAATCGATATTTGTTGAATATATTTTACAATTTGTTGAATGTATTTGTGTGTATTGGTATTTGCAGGTTAAAGGGTTAGTTACTCAAAAACTGAGAACTTTAAACTTTTTCATATCAATAAATTTTGAAAATAAATGTCTTCTTTCGTATCTGAGCTGACTTTTATATGGTAAAAAAATAATTGTTATTATCGAATACCCTGAACTAAAAAAAATGATTTTACTGATAAGAGATCGTTTATTATGGTATCTTTTTAGTTTTTCATAAAATGGATTTACAAATATTTACATTATATATGCAAACTTTAATAAACGATTTTTGAGAAATCGATCTTTTATACATACTTCGATTTATTTATAGTTCGATACATCAGCTTAAAATTTGAATCGATTTAAAATCGATATATATATATACCTTAGAGTATAAATAAGCGAGCTATAGAGCGCGCGATTCGCTCATGGCCCGTTGTGCCAAGCGTCAGTCAGCATGTGTTGTGTTCTATATGTAGATATACTAAGCATCATATTAGGCAGTGATAGATACTGATACATAGATGAAACGGTTTAATGCGCCAAAACTGACGCCTAAACCTTAGTGTATGTACTTAATTTATTAATTTAAATTAGTAGTAAAATTTTGTAAATAAATATACGGTAAGTTTTAGTAAGTCAATCAAATACCGGTACAAATTTATAAAACGATGTTGATTAATCAAATAAAAAAATATCGTTTTGTTTGCTTGATCACAGTTTTACGTACAAGATGTTTTATTCTAATATCAATATATTTTTGAATGACATCCATTAGTTTTGAAAAAATAGTGGATTACACACCTCCCGAAGCTAGTTAGTTCAAACAAAACTCCTGATGTTGGGCCTGTAGCCGTGAAAGGAAAAGGAAGATCTCCCGCTGGACAAGATTTTCTGCATGGGAAGCGGCCGACGCTCAAAGTGGTAGTTCGGGGCAGTTCTATATATAGCGCATTAACTTCAGAACTTTGATAGTGCGATTTAGGCTTTAGTGTGTTTTGCTTGTGGCGCGGTGACAATGCCGTCACTTCACCCTTTTGTTCAAATCGAAGGTCGATAATGCAGTTCGATTGCCGGTGCGGCCCTTAATGCCGGTGGAGAATGCATGCTGTTTGCGTAAGGGCAAGTGACACTGGTGCGAACGATATGTCGGTGTATAATGCATGCCATAATACGCACTTGCAAGTGACGGTGGTGCGAACGATATACCGGAGCAAGTGCCAGAAGTCTGCCTTATAAATCTGCGGTGAGTAGAGATGAAGACAAGTTGGGACTGACTTGCAGAGCTGAAGACTGCAGAAGAGGATTTTTGGGAGTAAATGGTAGGGGTTATTGAAGATAAAGACGAAGGCTTGAAGTTGTATATTTCTGAAGGTTGTTGGTTGCGTGTGGTTGATGTCAGTTGCTCACCACAGTGGGCGATGGAAGGAAAACGGTAGATCTCCCACCGGGCAAGGAGTTCAGCCCGGCGAGTGGCTAACGCTCCGAGTGGTAGTTCGGAGCTGTTCTATATAAAGCACGTTAACTTCAGAACTTTGATAAAGCGATTTAAGCTTCGGTGTGTTTCGATTGTGGCGCAACGATAACGCTGCCACAGACCATTTTATTGCTACCACCCATGTATTTTTCAATTGACAACTTTTCGATAATCTGAAAAACTGCGCTCTATAGCCTACTTATAAATAATCTAAGTATATAACCCTTCAAAGTATATTATCTATGTACATAAATATAATAACTATATTAGTAACTATTTTCCTTGTTATAATCAGTCGGTCTCCCAGTTATATGACCGCTTTGGCACTACACTACACAGTAAAATTACCGTCAGTAATTATAATTTTTTACGATCCATTATAGTTGCCCATGATTTTGTGTAGTTACACGATCTTTAGTTCTTGTGCACTTATGCACTATCCGTAAATTATTTGACAAACAATGCCACTAATTGCAAAATCTGAATTAAAAGAGTGTGACTTTGTTAAATTTCTTATGATAAGTTAATTCTTTCAGATCAGCAGTATCGCTGGGTGTTCCTCAGGTCTCAATTCTTGGTCCCTTTGTGTTCTTAGTTTATATTAATGACTTACCTTACTTGGTAAGGAATAACCATTATATAGCATTATTTGGTGCTGATACTTCGTTGATTTTCCGACTTTAAAAAGGCAATTATTGAAATATGACGAAATGAATAATGCTATATGAAAAGTAGTAAACTGGTTTAACGTCAATAATTGGTTTTTAAACGGTAATAAAAGGAAATGTATTAAATTCACCACACCTAATGTTAAACAGGTAAATACCAGAGTGCTTCTAAATGGGGAGGAGCTGGGCCTTGTTGTGTCCACTGTTTTTCTCGGAATCACAGTTAAGGCGAAGCTTCAATAGGGTTCTCATATATCTAAACTAGCTAGCAAGCTTAGTTCTGCAGTATATGCTGTATAAACATTAGATGCTTTACATGTGTTGAAACAGCTAGATTAGTTTATTTTAGTTATTTCCATAGCATAACGTCATATGAATTCCTGCTAGGGGGTAATGCGACTGACATTGAAAGATGAAACTATCTTTGTTTTGCAAAAGAGAGCCATAAGAGCAATTTATAACCTAGGTCCGAAGGATTCCCTCAGAGAAAAATTTACAGATATAAATATATTAACTTTGATCTCTAAATATATTTACGAGCATCTAGTGTATGTACACAAAAACAAAAATAGTTTTATTAAAAAATGTAAATATATATACATAATATCAAAGGTTTTATCTATTCAGCAAAAATTGTCCAGTAAGGGTTATTATGCTACTAAAGAGTACATGACTGATAATAATCCCTGGGAATTAGGTGATCGCTACCATGCTCTTTCTAAATGTTTTCATATTAATTTTATAAAATATTATATTGCAAATTGTGCTCTTTTACAGAAAACAGTCCCGCTGGGCTTATTGCTGGTTCTTTCGAGGACAGAGGATTTTTTGAGATATATGCGCGCTCTCTGAAGTGGCAGTGGGCCAGCCATATAGCTCGAAGAACCGACAACCGTTGGGGAAGAAAGGTTCTTGAGTGACAGCCTCGTACCGGTAGGCGAAGTGTAGGGCGACCTCCCACGAGATGGAGTGACGACCTGGTAAGACATGCAGGAGTCGATGGATGCAGGTGGCTCAGGACCGTGATTTGTGGCATTCCTTGGGGGACGCCTATGTTCAGCAGTGGACTTATGAAAGGTTGTAATGATGATGATGTCGATAATGCGCGCTCTATAGCTTGCTTATTTGTACTCTATGGCCCCAATTGACACTAGTTCCGCAATATTTTATGAAGCTACGTTGGCAGCACTGATGTGTTATTCTGTTGACTTCACGTCGATTGTATTCTCAAAACAAATACGCACACACAAATACATAACACTGAAAACGATACGGCCATCACGTTTGTTCTTATTGATTACTGTGGTTAATTTTAAAGCTTTCGATAAAGATTAATTATAGAAATTTGCTCCCATTGCGTTTATCAGTTGCTTAATATACGCATTCTAAAGCTCTCGCCAGTTTTATCGCAATGGAAGTCGACCGCATTGCTTCCGATTCGGAAAACGTGGCGGTGGACGAAAATGATAAGTCGATCGCCGATGGAGGTGCTGGAGACGCCGCCGGTTCTCATTCTGGGCGTATTAAGCGAAAACACAAGAAATACGGCAGAAGCAACAGCAAGGATGGAGTTACTCCGGTAGCTCCACTGCCAAAATATCGTAGTTGGAAGAACAGCCGTAGACCGCGAAATGGCCACGGCAGGGGTCTTCCCAAGAAAGGTAACCTTTGTCTTTTCTTTCACATTTAACTGTAGTGACATTTACTTCTGTAATAGTTTGGTCGAAGAGAAAGTTCTGGAAAGGTTGTATAGAGCGAAGAGAGTTGTATTTGAGTCGCAATATACTATTTGTTTATTTCGTGGACTATTCACTGCAGTACGCATTTCTTTTTAATACCTGAGTATGGAGTATGTATTTATTCTACGTAGTCTGCTTAATTGCAACTTAAAACAAATTAACCCTGAAGTAAAGGAGGAATATTTTAGAACGTACGGCCATTTTAACGACTCATGCACTATTATAATTATATATTTCATGATATACTATATTCTTTATATATATATATATAATTTATTTAAAGCATAAATAAATACATTGTTAGTGTAAAAGTTGTTTCTAATTAATATAATATAATAATCGTAGACATGTGGGTGTTATTATTATTATAATAACTTGTTACGATACGAGACGCGTACACACCCATATAGGTACCAACATAGCAAACAACAATTTTATCGTTTCAAGGTCGCACTATCCATGAGACTTTTGCGCAGTTATAAAAGAATCGAATTGGCGTAGGTCATTTATGTTTATTTACATTTTCTCTATAGTGATTATTGACTCGAATGTATTTTATTACCTTTATTTTTAAAATATTGTAATATTATCATATTACAATGCATAATATGGTAATTCTATGGCATGGTATACTTATAAAAATGTATAAATAATTTATTATAGTTCTTTGGTAATAAATGCCATAAGGCATTAAGTCCACGTATTGTAACTCTTAGTTTAAGAAATCTGACAATAAAGATTAAATAAATAAATAGAAATAAGCAAAAATACGATCATCATACATCATGCACCATCAGCCTGCGGCAGTCCAATGCTGGACATCGCGCCTCTCCCAAGGCGCGCTACTTAGCCCGATCTTCAGCTACACGCATCCAGGTTTTACCAGCCACCTTGCGCAGATCGTCGCTCATGACTGCCACCACGGCCAGGAATAATGGGGCGACCGGGAACTGGGGGCCGTGTTTTTGGTGTGCTATATATGAGAGGAACCACCCCAAGCCGGCTTGTCACCGTGGGGGAAGAAGACAAACACCCTCCATCTAAATCAAAACATTATATTTCGAAACACCCCAAAGCAAACATATTTAATAAGAAAACAATACAGATAGAACAAGGTAAAAAGATAACTGAACATATAAATGTCTGCACACTGAATACTCTGACACTAAGAACAGAAGAGAGCCTAAAAGAACTAGAAATAGCCATATCTAACATAAAATGGGACATAATTGGCATTAGCGAGATGAGAAGGCCAGGAGAAGGGATAGAAGAGAGGAACGACTATATTATGTTTCACAAAGGAGAACACACGGGACAAAAAGGAGTAGGTTTCCTTATCAAGTCTAAACTGAAGAAGAACATTATGGGATTTGAAGGAGTTTCTGACAGAATTGCTGTAGTTCATTTAAAATTTCCAGGGTACAAGAAAAACTGGGCTATCTTTCAAATATATGCCCCAACAGAAAAAGCGGGGAAATCAGAAATAGAATATTTCTATGAGAGTATCTCAGAAGCAATAAAACCGCATTACAACAACAACATAATAATCATGGGCGACTTTAACGCACAGGTTGGAGAAAGGCAAACTGGAGAAGAATCCTCAATCGGGAAGTGTGGGCATGGCAAAAGAAGCCAAAATTGACAGAAATTAGTAGAATTCATGATGGAAAATAACCTTATTTTAATGAACTCATGTTTTAACAAAAAAACTAAAAGCAAATGGACGTGGTCCTCCCCAGGCGCAAAATTCAAAACTGAAATTGACTTTATTATAACCAACAAAGCAAGTGCGTTCACAGATACCAACATAGTTAAAAACCTCAACTTTAACACAGACCACTGTATGGTAAGAAGCTGCCTAAACATAAACCAACCCAAAATATCCAGGAAAAACCTAGGAAACAATAATAAGCTGTATCAAATATCAGAACGCAATCATTCCACTAATTCCCGCACAGAACCACTCAATGAAATTATTACCTCCGACGCAGAAACTGGGATTAAATACAGGAGGCTACAAAACAAATTGAAAGAGATGCTAGTCAGTAAACCCAGAAGCAAAGAAAGCTATTTAAGTAAAAAGACACTAGAACTATTAGACGAAAGAAGAACACTAATATCAAATAAAGAGGACAAAGAAAGACGCCAAAAAATTGCAACCCTTAGCAAGGAAATTAAGGAGAATATGAGGAAAGATCGAAAGGAAGAAAGAAATAGAGTTTTGGAAGAAAACATAAAAAGAACAGGAGGAACAAAAAAGGCTATGAAACAATTAAGCGAACATGGAAAAGAATGGATAGCGAAACTAAAGCAACGCGAATCCTACTCAACTAATCGACTATCAATACAGAAACTAGCTACGGACTATTATCGCCTATTGTACTCAGATAAATTCGATTCAGGGATGGCCACAATTCCGGAAGTAAACGAAGTAAAAGAAAACAAAGTAGATGAAGTGCCAGAAATACTTACATCAGAGGTAATCAAGGCAATAAAATCCCAAAAACTCGAGAAAGCCCCAGGACTGGACAAGATACCTAATGAAATGCTCAAGGGATCCTTAGAGGAAATCAGTCCTGTTCTGGCAAAACTTTTCAATGAAATCTTATAAACAAGGCAAATTCCAGAAGAATGGACCGAGTGTCACATAATTCTACTACATAAAAAAGGTCATAGAGACGAGATTGGGAACTATAGGCCGATTTCTCTTATATCAAACATATATAAAATATTTGCTAAAGTGATCCTGGAAAGAATATCATTAACACTCAACGAAAACCAACCCGTAGAGCAGGCAGGATTCAGAAAAGACTTCAGCACAATAGATCACATTCACACAATAAAACAGTTGATACAGAAGTATAACGAATACAATAAACAAATCTACTTGGCGTTTATAGATTACTCAAAGGCATTCGACAGCCTCAGGTACCAATACATATGGCGGAGCCTTGAACAACAAGGGGTCCAGAGCAACTATATAGAAATACTTAAAGAGTATATACAAGTCTAACAAGGCCAGTATTAAACTAGAATCAACAGGAGAACCATTTCCTATCAAAAAGGGCGTACGCCAAGGCGATCCTCTCTCCCCTGCGCTATTTAACGCCGTACTCTCGAGCACATCTTTAGACAGCTAAACTGGGACCACTTATGTCTGAACATTAATGGAGCTCGCCTAAACCATCTAAGATTTGCCGATGATCTGGTGCTTCTTGAAGAGAATCCAGCAGCAATAGAACAAATGATGCAGAGCCTAGCAAATATAAGTAGAGAAGTTGGTCTGGAAATCAATGCCAGTAAAACAAAATTAATGTCAAACTCAAGGGAAATAGACGTTATGGTAGATGGCAACAAGATTGAATATGTCAAAGAATATATTTACTTAGGACAGATAATATCTCCTTCAGATGAAATGACAAAGGAAATAAACAGGCGAATAGCCCAAGGATGGAGAAAATACTGGTCACTGAAGGAAATAGTGAAAGGCAAGGATCTAGGAAATCACATAAAAAAGACAACATTCGAGACCTGTATTCTACCAGTTCTTACTTATGGCTGTGAAACTTGGTCAACAACACTTTACCATAGGGAAAGGCTAACAAAATGCCAACGTGCCATGGAAAGAAGCATGCTAGGGTTAAAAATCAAAGACAGAGTCAGGAACGACGACATTAGAACAAGAACAAAACTCACAGACATTCTTACCCGGATAGACGTCCAAAAATGGAGATGGGCTGGACATTTGCTACGCCACCCCATTAACAAATGGAGCAAGCAAGTCACTCTCTGGCAACCAAGAGACGGCAAAAGAGGCAGGGGTCGTCAAGTCAGGAGATGGGAAGACTCCTTGAAACAGACAGCGGGACCATTCTGGTTGAGAGTAGCAAGGGACAGAAACCATTGGAAGGAATTGGAGGAGGCCTATGCCAAAAGGCACACCGAACTTGGGGACCTCTTGTAACCCTATGTTTAGGAATAAAAGGCTATTATTATTATAGTAGGGAAAACATTTCTGTTTCTTAGCTCTTTGGCTAGTTTTTACTGCACATACGGGCCGAAGCCAAGTAAATGCAGCATGGAGTGAGTGTTTATGTAGGTTGTGTGTTCTGGGTAACTATTTCATTTTCTTCCAATTGCATGAATTTTCTTACAATTCGACAGGTATTTAAAATTGCGGCTTTTTGGAGTATAATATATGTTGAGTCTTTCAGGTCTATTAATTTGAAGCTATGGTGGAGATGGTTGGGTATAACGCCCGTGGTGGAAAAGTTTATTTCTTACTATTGTTCTTCTTTGATCGGAAATACGTTGTTCTGTAACACTAATTTCTGGGTATTGTCTTGTAAAACGTTCATGCAATTGCTGTCTGTATGTGGTCATGTCGGTCTCTAATTTGGTGATGTGGAAGTAGGTTCGCATGATAAATATGTTTACTTCCTTACTCCATCTCATGCGAACTCTTGCTTTTCCAGCCTTGGTGGACGCGGGTAAGAAGGTAGATACCCCCCGCGCAGCATTCAAGGTCGAAGTGGGTGGAACTGTATTTAAACTAATGATGGAGGATGATGAAAGTGTTGGTGACGATGGTATGGATGGTCTTGAGGGTGTGTATGATACTGTGCTTGGACTATACTGTTCTACAGGGGTGTCTGTCCTGTCCGTCAGTCTGTTACCATCGTCAATGATTTTGGCTGTAGCATCTTTGTCGGTGGGAGCCCGCCTGTTCAACTCCTCACCGCTGACGGTTCGCATGCTGAGACACCCAGCGTCAGCTCCAGGTGCGCCCCGGCGATCGCCCCCGGGCAGCGGCCCTATACGTTTACTTGTAGAACGAGTCTCCATTTTTTTTTTGGGTTTCCAGAGCCACGTTAGCCATGCCAGTAATTTCGCATTCGTGTGTCCGCCCCCCACGTGATTAG